CTATAGAAAAATTGGCAGTAACGGAGTGAGTTCCCGTTACTTGTCCCAGTTTCTGCCAACCTAGCAGTTCTAAAGCATGTAAAAACTGCAAGTAGAAAAATAGAGACCACCTTTGGTGGGAAGGTGACAGCGTTTGATGCGCCTTCGGGAGTTGAGTCATGCCGGCCACATGACCACGGAGACGTCTTCAGACAGCGCTGGCTCTTCGGCTTTGAAACGGAGATGAGCACCGCCCCCTAGAGTCAGGAAGAACTAGCACATATGTGCCAGGGGAACCTTTACCTTTGGCTTTCATAGTCCATGAATGTGATTAGAAGAGCAATTGTTGGAAGAAAAATCCATCTGGTTCAATTCCAAGCTGGGAGAAAGACACTAGAATCATGGAGGCTGCTTGGAAAGATGGTTTGCGGATAAAGCACAAGCCCATGTGATTCTGGGCAGCTGACAGAATGGAGTTGAGAGTGGGTGGGTTTTTATACCTTCTTTTGAAATTTGTATTTGAGTTTCCTGTTCCTGTGCAAGAACATGTCCTTCAATATTCTATTGGCTGTTGGACATATTCCTATGGGGGACATGTAGGGGTCATAGCTGGCTCTATGGGCAAAAGAGGAAATGCAAATCCTAGGTGTTTGTCTGAGCTAATCTGGACAACCTGTGGCTTGTTCTTTATCTGAGCTCCCAGGTGAAGTTTGGACTGCTCTGGGATGGTGCAATGAAAGGGATTTTGTGTTCTGAAAGGGTGTTCGGCAATTCCTATTGTGGCTAATGACTTTCATCCTGCGTTGGATCTTGGGTGAGGGGCTGCTTCTAACCCTATCACTCTATTAGCTTTGTTAGCTGCCAAACTTTGCCGCAAGCAGTTTCGAAATAATATCCTGAATGGATTTCTGCCTGCCGCGTTTGCTTTTGCTTATGAATGGAGCCATCTAGATGAGTTGGCTTCCTCTTTCAATGCGCTCTTTATCTCTTAAGTGCTGTGGGCTATTAAGGAAGACTTGGGGGCTGCTTCCTGCCTCTAAAAAAACACACACACATTTCTCCATTTCTCATTTAGGAAAACGTAACGTTCTGCCTTTTTAAAAATATTCCTCAAAAGTTTGCGCGCTTTGGGGGCTTCCCACGGAACCATCTCCCAAAGTGGATCATTCCCAGAGGCAGCGCCTTCTTCAAAGCCAGAAATACCCCCAGGGCTTTGCCCACAGTTATGTGCTGTGCTGCCCTTTGCATTCAGCCGTGCCTTTTGGCCTTCAGCAGCTGACCCACCTGCCTGGCAAAAGACGAGACGCTCAGCCGCCGCAACCCGCTTCTAACTGTCGCCCGCTTACATAATAAGATTGATTACACGCTGTGCCACTGCATTTATGAGGGCAATTAGGAGCCGTGCATATTTTAAGGACTGGTTCAGGACGGGGCACCTGATTTGCTTCTCATGCATGACTGTCTCCGGATGTTCACCAGGGAGAAGCCTGCTGGGGAAGCAATTTTTTGCCTGGAACTGCTGGCATTGCCTGCGCCTCTCGGCTCCTGGATCGTTCTGCTGGGAACCAGCCAGCCACATAAGTTCTCCCAAAGGTTAGCCTTGCTCTGCTACCAAACAGCTAGAAGGTTCGGTTGCTTTTATTTAGGGGTGGTTTGAACTGGAGTAAGGGGGGGTGGGGGTGGAGGTTTGGGCGAGGGGGGCCGGAAGAGAACTGAAATACTGGGAAGGCACAAAAGTTCTCAGCACCTGAGACCTCCCCAGACTGAAGATCACTTCTAGAGCGGAGGTAAGCGCTTTCATCTCCGACACGCAGAATAGAGTCACAGACTTAAAAAGGCCTGAACATGCAGGATACTGTTGAATATGCAAGTTGCCATTTGCCTAAGACTTGTTTCTACAACCTGCTAAATAGCACAGATAAAGTCTTCTGCCAAATACTTCTGTGTATATATATATAGCATCTTTTGTTTCGGAACAGATATCTTTCCAGAACTATATGTACAGTCAAATCATAATGGACGGTCCTTCCTTCCTTCCTTCCTTCCTTCCTTCCTTCCTTCCTTCCTTCCTTCCTTCCTTCCTTCNAGAATTCCCCAGCCAGCATTCGCTGGCTGGGGAATTCTGGGAGTTGAAGTCCGGACATCTTCAAGTTGCCAAGGTTGAAAAACACTGCTCTAGGTCGTAAGTATGAGGACCGCTCGTAAGTCACTCCTCAGTGCCATTCTAACTTCTGACGGTCGTTCAACAAATTGTCAAAAACAAAAAAATATAATAGGTTTAAAAAAGTGTATTTTTAAAACTGTCTGGATAGGTGGTTGCAACAGCCAGCATTTCTCTGTTTTGTTAGGCAAGAAGGAGCAAAATTGGACGTGGGGAAAATGACTGGCTCTGGCCCCGCCCCTATTTAAGCCCCACCCTCCCATCTCTTGGCACATGCCCCCCCTCCCCCCCAAGCCAACAGAACGCATCCTTTGATGCAAGCTTTGGTCTTTTATTAACATTAGTGTCGGATTAAAATCATTTTTTTCTTAAGCTCTTAAACCTCGCAGCCGGCTGTGAAGCTGCCTTGTTCTTACTTAGCAAAACTTTTATGCTCGGCCTTCCAAGGAGCGTCCGTCTCTTCGGCCTCAATTCGATACGAACCTCCAGCTAAAACCCGCTTCGTGATCTTTCAAAAGCAGGGCATTCTGAGCCATTCCGCATTTCCTTCTTGCTTCTGCCCTGATGCTGTAGGCTTCCTTCGCCTGCCCAGATCTCCGTATCTCCAAATCTCAAAGCTGAATCTTCAATTATTAGGGTTAGGGTCCGCCCATTGGCTCACCCCAACACGACCCGTCAGATTTTAGCCTTTGGTTAGAAGAGGGGAAAGTCCTTCTCCTAGTCGGGGTGAAGACCTGGTGCTCCGGCATCTTCTTCAAAGCTTCCGTTGTGACTTTAGACCAGCTCGGTCCAATCCGTCTCTCGAAACCCTCCTGCCCTCCATCACACCAGCTCGGTCTCCTCCGAAGGGTAGAGCTTCTCCCAGGCCATCAGGCGGCAGGCGCAGAAGAACCTCCAGAGGTTGAGCAGGACCCCCTGGTCGAAGGGATTCTCCACCTTGCAGTGTTTCAAGTAGGAAATGCGGTGGCGGGACATGAATTCCCAGGTGGTGGTGTTGCAGGAGACGAGGTAGAGGTGGGAGCCCAGGAGGAGCGTCGCAATCACGGTGCAGATGGTGAGGAGCAGGAAGGAGAGGAGGAGGAGCAGGTGGCACTGAAGCCAGAGCCAGGAAAAGGACTGGAAGTTCAGGCCGGACCTTTCGAAGAGGGGAGAGAGAGTAACAAAAAAAAGGGAAATTGGGAATGACTGTTGGAATATTGGTAGCGCTTGACTTACAACAGTTCGCTTTAGTTTAAACTTACAATGGTGCTAAAAAAAAGGTGACAGGGTCGTTTTTCTCATGCCAATCCTAGCATCCCCGTGATCAACATTCACATGCTTGGCAACTGGCAAGCACAGTATGCCTGTTGCGTTGTCCCCAAGTCATGGGATCTCCTGTTGCAACCTTCTGACAAGCAAAGCCACTGGGGAAGCCAGATTGACTCAACAATTGTGTGACTTAACAACCGCATAACTGGCTGGGGAATCCTGGGAGTTGACATCCACAAGGCCTAAAAGTTGCTGGGATTGGACACCCCTGCTCTAACACAAAAGCTTCGTTTGTGTCATTGGAGGGAGGGCACCGTGGACGGGAGCAACCTGATTTCGATGGGACAACGGAGGAGACGCCACCATTTCCCCTTCAGACCCAGCACAAGGGTCCCCGATCCCCAGGGGGGTGTCTTGCCCGGTACTCACCAAGCCACCTGCAGAGCCCAGAGCAGGACGGTGAGCTGCACCCCCAAGTAGAGCACGAAAAGTGGGTGATTCCTCTCCCCGATGCAGTTCTCAATCCAAGGACAGTGGTGGTCGTAACGGCGGACGCACTGCTGACACGCCTGGCAATGCTTGGCTCGCAAAGGTTGCTGTAAGACAGCACAAAGTCCTCCTGTCACTCTGGTTCCACCTTCAACCACAGCCTGGGTGGCCATCAATCGGAGATGGCACGGCAGTGGGTTAGGGGGGTCAGACTGGATGCCCTTCATGATCCCTTCAAACCCCGACTCTCTATGGCCAAGTCCTACTCTTGGCTCTGTTTTTCCCCACCCATAAATGCCTCAGGAATCCTGGGGGAAATTCCACCTACAAAGGAGAATATTTTTAGCTCAGGGACGAAATGGGGGCTCCCGGATGCTCTCCGAGCTTGGTGGTTTTCTTGCAGACGTTTCATGGCCCAACTAGGGAACGTCATCAGTGCTAGCGATGTTACCTAGCTTGGGGTCGGTCATGAAACTTCTGCAAGAAAACCATCAGCCTCGGAGAGCATCCGGGACCCCTCAAAGCCCACCCCCTCAATGCGGAAGCAGTGGAAAATCTCTTCAGTGAAATCTTCTTTCTTTTCTTCAACAAAGTTTTATTTATTTATTTTTTGCTACATATTTTAACTTCTTTTTTTACGAACAAAGTGTTGTCCTGGTTTCCCCCCCCCTTTTACATCTTTTATTATGCATATTACATTTTACATCATGTTTCCATTTTACATTTCAGTCATCTTATTTTTATTCCGTATTCTCCCGCTTAATTTAATTTTTTCTTTTCTTAATATATAATGCAGTGTTTCTCAACCTTGGCCACTTGAAGATGTCCGGATTTCAACTCCCAGAATTCCCCAGCCAGCATTCGCTGGCTGGGGAATTCTGGGAGTNCTTCTTTCCTTCCTTCCTTCCTTCCTTCCTTCCTTCCTTCCTTCCTTCCTTCCTTCCTTTCATTTATATTGCTGCTCAAGGCGGCTTACAGGATATAAAACCACATTTAAAACAATAAAACTATTTTTTATTTAAAAACCAGAATCAAATAAATGAATGTAATCTGATATTCCTTCCCAGGAAAACCGTTCTTCACCTCGAAGACTTCTCTTGCATGGCGGTTCTTGGTAGGGGCCACTTTGGAAAGGTAGAGTAAACCTAGAGGAGGGTCACAGGAATGGAGATCACGTGACCCTGGGAGGCTGCCACCCTCGCAAACACACCCACCCAAATTTTGATCGTGTGGCAGGCTGAAACGGTCATAAGCGTGAGGACCGATTGACGAGTCCCTTCTTGCCAGGTGTCTGAAGTTGGAATGTTGTGACAGTGCAAGAACTGGTTGCGAATCGCTTTTTTTTGGGGGGGGGGGATTGCTGTTGTAACTTCAAACCGTTGTTAAATGAACAGTTGCAATTCAAGGACTTCCTGTAGAGCGAGCAGACAAGAATTGAAGTATTTCTTCGTTAAAAACATGATTTGAGCATTTGTGGGGCAGGTGTAAAGGTGTTGGGGGGCGGGGGGAAGCTGGTTTTGATTTTGGCCTGTCCCCCAAGAGGATTGGATGGTTATTTCTAGGTCCTTCTCGCCCGTCACAAGGCCACCCAGAAGCTCTTCGCCATCAAGGCTCTGAAGAAGCAAGAGATCATTAGCCGGGATGATCTGGACAGGTGAGCATCGCTTGTCTTGCAAGATTTGCATTTGGTTCTTCCTCCAGAAGGAAGCCCTGGGTGAAAGAAGAAAGGTAAGGAGAGGAGGATGGAAAGGAGGGAAAAGGAAGGAGAGAGGGTAGGAAGGGAAAGAGGAAGAGCAGGAGTAAAGGAGAGGTAAGTGAAGAAGGAAGGGGAAGGAGAGGAGGAAGGAAGAAAGTAGCGAAGAGGAAAATATACTTCTAGGAACAAAGATATCTTTACTGTCTTTTGATGTTCCCTCGACCGTTTCATCCCTGGCAGCTTGTATTGTGAGAAACGTATTTTTGAAGTCATCAACCCTTCCGGTCATCCTTTCCTGGTCAACATGTTTGCCTGTTTCCAGACTTCGAGTCACGTATGTTTCCTGATGGATTACGCTCCCGGCGGGGACCTCATGAGGCACATCAGCTTCAACAATTTCTCTGAAGATACCGCTCGGTGAGTGGACGGAGAACGCAGAACGTAGAATAGCAGAGTTGGGAAGGAACGTGGAGGCCTGCCAACCCTCCGTTCAAGCTGGAGAGCCTACACCAGCACTGGGGTTAACTTCAAACGTTTCGCTAGGTGGCCTGTCCTAAGATGAGGACTAATTGTGTACCCTTAATTATGCTGTGTCTTTGATCCCCTCCCCTGTTCAATCTTCTTTTCAAAGGTTCTGCTCTGCCTGTGTGGTCTTAGGACTTCAGTTCTTACATGAAAAGACCATCATTTACAGGTAAAACCATTTTTGGTGTGCGATTCTCAGTTCTGGCTTTGCATTACTGCACTTCACTGGACTTCTAAGAAAACCATGCCTTTTGTAACGTTCCCGTGGTTCGTCCATGAGGCCAATGTGGAGAAAAGACACGGACACGACCTTTCTCGGGATGGAGCGACCCAGATTGGGGGTCTGAGAGCCCCTTTTATTGAGATAGGACAAAGGCAGGAGGAGCAATCAGCATGTGATTAAAGACAGCCCGTCAAAGTACAATTTCTAATCTACTGCTCAGAGAAGTTCTGTCTATATATGGTCAAATCCTGGGCGTCATTGGTAGGGCACATCTCAGGATGTTATGTTATGAACTATCAGGATGTTATGGAGTTTTAGGAGTTTGTTTTCTCCTGTGTGGTTCAGCGTGGCTCTGCAACTATATTACAACAGCCTTTCTCAACAAAACGGAGCCAAGGGTAGTTTCTATTTAGAGGCTTAAGCAGTGGCGGCTCTGACACCTAACCAGCTTTAATACCTAGTGCGGGACTAGAACTCACTGTCGCCTGGTTTCTAGACCAGCACCTCAGTCATTACATGCAGTGGGGGTCTCTGTGTTGTGGCCCGCCAGCAGGAGTTTGCAGGAGACAATTAGTTCACTTAATTGGTTCGTAACTCTCCGAGACTCCTGGCCAAGTTTTTGCACATCTCGGCCTGGCAGCCCTCCAGGCCAGATAAGGTCTGTGACCGTAAATCCTCCTGTCAGCATCGACTTCATTTAGTAATCAGGAAAGAAACCACTCAACTCCATTTGAATTGAAATCAAGTGTACTTTTTACTAATTATAAACGAACAGTTGCAAAGCTAAGCTGAGTCTGGTTAATTAGGCGCGAAAGCGAATAATACCATGTATAATTCAATCCCCTCTCCTTGGCACCCCCGTTCATAGTCCAATTATAATGCACCCAACTGTCAGGTGGGAGATAACTTCAAAAGGCATCATCAGGATGGAATGCTGGACAGTTGGCCTTGGCGGGAAACTCCCTTCTTCCACATGCGCAATGAGATGGTCAGATCAGCGTCTAGAAACTTCCTCCAGCACATCATGATTCCCCTCCCAGATACCATGCTCCCCCCCCTCCCCGTTTCAATGACAGCCGAAGCAGCAGCAAAGCAGAGGCTGACACCTCCTTTGAAAGACTTTGCTGGAGGTGAATGAGCAGAATTCACAGGCAATGAATAAAAAGTGGTTTTTGTCGGGACAGTAAGAGCTTCATGCTCTTGGGAAGCCTCGGTCAGAACAGACTTAACACAGTAAGTCTTCCCTTTCCCCCCTTTCACCTCTGTTTTCCCTTCTGCTCCTTCTGCAGAGATTTGAAAATGGATAACTTGCTTCTAGACGCCGAAGGATTTGTGAAGATCGGGGACTTTGGGCTTTGCAAGGAAGGTGAGAGAAAGGGAAGAGTTATATGCTTGGCAGGGGAAAAGGTGCGATAGCTGTGAGTATTTGCAATCCAGCTACAGGTTTGTTCAAATCTTGTTTATCCCGCTTCCCAGGTGTAGGTTATGGAGACCGGACAAGCACTTTCTGTGGCACCCCAGAATTCCTGGCTCCGGAAATTTTGACGGATCCATCCTACACCCGGGCAGTGGACTGGTGGGGGCTCGGTGTGCTTATTTTTGAGATGCTGGTGGGAGAGGTGAGCTGGTACCCTCATGAGGGTCTTCTTGAGCATCAAGAGGGACTTAATTCCTTATTAAAAATAATTATTTCAAGCTAACCAAGCAGTGCTTCTTAGTTTAATTACTCTTAGGCCAACGTTGGTGACTTTGGGCCAGCCTACCTCATAGGGTTGTTGTGTGGAGAGGAGGCTGTTTTAAAATACCCACACACACCTTGAAAAAAGGGTAGGTGGGAAACACCAGGATTAGAACAGTTCCAAACTCTCTCCTTCCAAGTCTCCTTTCCCCGGGGACAACGAAGAGGAGATGTTCGATAGCATCATCAGCGAAGAAGTGCGTTTCCCGCGATTCCTCTCCGAGCTCAGCACTTCGCTTATGCACAAGGTAGCCTTGGGGATTGGTGGTGGGGGTCCCACAGCAAAGTTTTGGGCTGGATTGGAACCCAGTTCCGATTTTTTTTCTTCTTCTTCTTCTTTTTTCCCCATCAGCTTCTCCAAAAGTGTCCCGAGCGACGTCTCGGAGCAGGAGCGAAAGACGCCGAGGAGATTAAAATTCATCCTTTTTTCAAGGTACGAAGGTCCGTCCGCCTCGGCCTTCCGATAATTCCCCTTTTCTTGCGTTTCCGATCTCTTGAACCAACACTTCAGCTGAGCCCCCAAAGGGAGTCAGAAGTGGTGAAGCAGAGATTAAAAAAGAAAAGACCTCAGTTTAGTCTGCAAAGCAATGTTTGCTCTCTCTCGTTCTTCAGAAGGCCTTTGCAAGCCCTCTTTCTATCTTCCTGCATTCCATAAATTCATCGTTTTTTTGGTGAGGTAGTGAGGATTTAATAGCTGCCAGCTGATGTAAGGTTGTAAACTGTAAGCTGATGCAATGAGGATGATTCAGCAATACAGGCATCACCACGTTAAGACCCTGGTTGGGTGTCTATATATAGGTGGCCATTAGAGGGCGTTTCTCTCCTCTTGTGTCTCATTTCTCTCCTTGTGTCTGTAGCTGTGTGGTAAGGGGTTTATTTATCATGTGTTTGTTATCTATTTGTATATAAACCACTATTGATTGTCTAAAGGCTCTGTGTGTTGTGTTTCACTCCTGGGATTATCTGATAATAATAGGCACACTGCCAAAACTCTTGACAGTTCTGCCTTTGTTTTTAAGCCGCCTCTTTTGACGGACTGTCCGACCTCACCTGTGCCTTTTCTTCCCTCTCAGCCCCTTTACTGGCCTTTGATATATTTATATATTAAATGTGTATGGATCTATGGAGGCTTTTAAGGACCTTGGTGGCACAGTGCTTAGAATGCAGCATTGCGGCTTAACTCCTCTGCCCACTGCCGGCAGTTCGATCCTGACCGGCTCAAGGTGGATTCAGCCTTCTAGCCTTACGAGGTCGTTCAAATGAGGACCCAGATTGTTGACTCTGTAAAGCGGCATACAAGTCTATAAATACTTGCCAGTTTGNGCTCCTCCCCAACCTCCTCACTGTCCGACTGCTGGCGGGCCACAACAGCTTTGCCTCCCTTGAGAGTTTCATACCCTTTAAACTCCCAACAGCCTCCAAAGTATTCCCAGTTTCCCCTCGAGGGATCAGCCCACCTTCTCATCCCCGCTGTCGCTCTCAACGTAGCCTGGGTTCATGAGTGAGACCACAAAATACAGGACGACGGAAGAGAGAACCAGCAAGGTGAACACAATCGGATGAAGAAGATCTCCTTGCTCAAGCTGCCTCCGGAGATCTGGAAGAGGAAGACAAATTGGAAATCTTAATTTATAATCAAGTGGCTCCTTGGATCTTGGCACAGGAGGTAATCTGTTCCGAGTTAAGCTGCCCTTTGTGATTGACTGATGGTGCATTCCTCAGACAATTGGGGCACCACTAGAATTCCATCGGCATTGACAAATTCCCCCTCAGTCAATTGCAAAAGGCAGCTTGGTTTCGAACAGCTGACACCCTGCAAATAAGAACACGTAACTCTATCAAATGTCCACTCCCAACCTCTGTTCGTTCCAGGTCCTCGGGAAGGTCTCAAATAGGGGGATAAAAATGCCACATCCGTTTATATGAATCCAATTCACGTTAACATTGCTGATCATCTCTCAAATTTATATAATCCTCATTATATGTAGGCATCTCTTTGCTCTTCAATTCTTATCCATTTTATCCTAAATTTAACTTAGTTAATAGAGAAATGTTTAGATAAAATAAGAAAGATATTATAGATGAAGGTAGAGATAAAAGATGAGGAGTTAGGCATTTTTTGAATATGTATGTTTGAACAATATAATGATGATTGCTTACATTTGAGAAATATGATAGGGATTTCTAATATTGTTATTGTGAATTGGATTAATATGAATGATACCCAAAACCAACTCTGTTCAAGAGCCAAGGTGGCGCAGTGGTTAAATGCAGCACTGCAGGCTACTGCTAGATCAGCAGTTCAGTGGTTGAAATCTCACCGGCTCAGGGTTGACTCAGCCTTCCATCCTTCCGAGGTGGGTAAAATGAGGACCCAGATTG